CACACGCTCCCACGGCGGGGACGGAAGGGCTGCATATGGCATGGCGCTCGGCTTTAACAGCTGAGCTTTAAAAAAAGTGCAGCTTTTCATCTCACTGAACCAGCTCCCAAATTAGGAGGTGGGGAGGGAGACCAGGTTGGGGGTGGGGGCGTGCAGGAAAAAAAGACAGGATGGGAAGAGTCAGCCTCCGACATTGAATTTGATTTTGCAAGGAATTTCAGACTATTATGTGCTCAGAAGCTCCCTATGGAAGAAAAAATAATGCTCCCTGTTTGTCATCCCCAAGTTTACTAATTTTAAGTTGCTAATATTTTTTTTAAATGACTTGCTTTCTTTAGTTTTATTTATTTATTTTGGACAAAAATGAAAGCATCTAGCTGTGAAGGAATCATGCACACGCTTTATATTGGGTTTAAAAAAAATTTAAGTAAATTTACAAATGGGATTATTGCTTTCCAAAGTTCTGTTCTGCAAAGGGCTTAGTCGCCACCATGCCCGGGGGGTGTTCCCTGGTCCTTCTAATTCCCCGCCTAGAGGTGAGAAGCTCCTGGAAAGGAACAGGAAGAAGGAGCCTGATATCCGGCAGTTTTCCTGGAATTGCCTGGAAACTTTTACTTTCTGTTTCCTCTGCTGATAATGACTGTCTTCGGCTCTGCAGCCAGCTCCCCTCTCCCCCTCCCAGCCCCCTGTTGCTGCAGCCATCCCCGAGCTCCAGTATAAAGTTTGGCTTTTGCAGCAGGAAGCAGCTGGGCCAAGCAACCAGCGAATGATAATGACCTCAGAAATCTGCTGTTCGCTCGGCAACAATAGGGTGCTCAGTCTACTGGAAAATTGTGTTCATCAGCTAACTCTGCTCAGTTACTAATTGACATTGCCAAATATTTTAAGAACAATTGGAATGCACAAGCAAAAAAAAAAAAAATGAAGATCTTAATCCTCAGACTTAAATTTTTCTTTTTCTTTTTCTTTCCTCTTTTTTTTTTTTTTCTTCTTTTGGATGCCTGGATTTGTTCATGTGGAGCAGGCAGTGGTAATCATGAATGGGGGGCAGGGAGGGGGGAGCCACAGGAGAAAAAGAGGTGGAAAAGAAAGAAAATCTATCATATCACTATACACCCGATGTAAATGCAAGGGAGTCTGGGATAAAGGCCTTTGATGCTGTGGTCAATGGGCCTACACTGGATGGAGACCCAGCATTTCAGGAATGCTGCTCCAGCAACAAAGGAAGACCCCACAAGGATTTTTAGCCCAGCTGATCAAATAATCCTTGACCATCTCAGAATATTATAGCACAAGAAGCAGGGGTTAACAATATTTTCATCTTTGCTTTTCATTGATCATGCAACTTAGCCGACTTTATTTAATGAACAGAGGGTCAATGCATTCAATTACCCCCTTCCCACCATCAACACTTCAATTATCCCCACTCCAAAATTATGGGGAATTCGGAAGGTAACTGCCCTGTTGGATATAATGAACAGTATCGTTTCTTAGTACATTAAGTTTTAATTATTCTAAGCGTGATTTCCAAAGCAAAATCTGAAGAAACCGAACTTGGGTCGTTTTCTGACTCAGAGTCAAGCCAGGATCGGAGCCCAGGTCTTAGAGGAGGTTTTAGGGAAAGATGCAAAGATTAATGCCATCAGAGTGTTTGCACGCAAGCCAGAAACAAGGAAGCATCAAAACTGCCGCCCCACTCTCTAAATGTCATAAAAGAGTACAATTTATAAGCTGCTGCTTTCCAAATAGTTTCCCTTTGCCTTGAACACGGAGGCAGCAGTGACATCTAGGATGGTGTGAGATTATTGGTGAGTCAAATAAACAACAACAACAAAATAAAACAAAGGGAAAAGAGGGGGAAGTGTGACTGGTTCTGTCCATTTTCTGTTAGAAAATATGACCTCTCAATTTGTCAAAGGTCCTAGTTTTCGCAGTTGATCTTGAGCTTGGTTCTCAGCAGTTTGGAGAGCCAAAGAACAAACACATTTTCTGGTTCACTGGAATCATTTTCACATGTTCACTGATTCAAACATTCTTTTGCTCACATAACAAACAGCTGCATCCCACATTAGCCTAGCCAGTGACAGTCGCCCATCTCGGCAATAACTGTTTGATTGCAAACTTGACCCCTTCTTCGTCTCGGTCTGAGCAAGACATTTTTAAACAGCCACTCCGTTCCCAATCCTCCTTTGCAAAGAATTACATCAGATAACAAAGGACGCCTCTGCCACTCATTGTAAGCCTTCTTCTAGAGATCTGTTCTAAGAGGCTCTGGTAAAAAGGTTTTTTATGATGAATTCAGAACTACTATCATGTTAAGAGCAGCGATTTATAAAGAAGAATTCATTGGTTAAGATCTGAAAAAATAGTTTCTCAGGCCCTACTGACCCAGTTTTCAACAAAAAAAGAATCAAGTGATGCAAATTAAGTTTTGCGACATTGTTATGCAGTCTGAGAAATTTGTAAAACCGTGTTTTGCAGTTATTTCTTAATAGAAGCCTTAATAAGAACTTCTTTCTTTACTTAAGGGCTTAAATTTTTTTTTCTCCCCTTCACCTTGCAGGTTTCTAACAGGTAATAATAAAATACCTATTGTGTCAAGATTTTTATTTAAATGCTTATTTTAAGCATACTTTATACAAGTAACACTTGTTAGAAATAAGAGGGGAAACTAACCAGATTTGGTTGAGAGTCCTAAATCCCAGAAAAACCTGAAAGCCCCAGACACACAGCTGATTTAGGCTGCATATTGGTATGCCATCAATTTCTTACTTAGTCGGAAAATTATGAAAGGGTCTAATTTGAATATGAAGAAAACAAAGAAGTCAACCAGAAATGAAAGAATCAGTATTCACAATTGTAAAATCCTTCAATGAGGGAAATAAAAGTGAAAAGATAACTGCAACCCAAGTATAATTCTCTTTTGAGTCAATAAGCATGGTTGGTTCTTTTAAGCAAAATGGGTTTTTTTTTTTCAACAGAGTATTTAGAGACAGGAAAGTAACAGAGATAGGAATAGCACGAGGCTATCACTTGGCCAGAAGGTGAGAAAAACACGGTAAACACGTCATTAATGAAGCCGAACATTTGGTGTCGGAATATTCTGCTGATGAGACCCTCTCATTTTAGAAGGTCTGGGAGAGGGATGGAAATCTGTCAATGTGAACTCCACGTCACTCCCAAAACTTAGGGGAGCCATTTGGCTCTTAGCTTCCTGCCCCTGAAAGGTCCCTCCTTCAAGAACAATTGAGTCTATGGTCCCCAGAAGAGAAGACCCCTTCCTAGGAGGCTGGAAAGAGTCCTTCCTGGCAGACAGAGGGACACCTGGCACTTGCTGCCTCCCCGGTGTGGCCATCTTTACAGAGTTCCTGCTGTCAGCCAGGGCAACTTGAAAGCCTTGCCCTGCCTCTGAGTATGTTCCACATGGTAGTTGTTCCCTGTGGTATGACCTCATCCTTCCTTCCGTGGTGCTCACGTTCCTGGTTAGACTCTTCCACAGTGTCTCACCAGCCATAAATCGCGAGCAAGTCTAGGACTCCAGGAGTAGACAGTGTGTTTCATGGGTATTTAAGCAGCAGCATTAAGTGCTATCGGAATCTCTGGAATGTGCAGCCCAGATTTATGTGTCTTAACAATTCTTTACTGGTTGGTAAAAAGCCTCCACACTCACACTTTATTTTAATACTGATTTTGTCCTAGGAGAAAGGTAGGCTGAGGCATGACAATAACAACAAAACCAAACTGGCACCTACTTAATAACTGTAGCAGTGGATTGCCTCTGAGACCGAGATATTTATCGAGACTGAGAAGGGGCGGGGGGGGGGAGGAAAAAAAGAAGAGAAGACCAAACTTTTAAAAAATGACCCTCAACAGTGTGCTGCCACATCTTTAACAGTGGGCAATGCAGTGCCTCGAGGTGCCTCAAACTGTCTTTCATTTTCTAGACTTAATGGCTGATTGCAGAAATCAATGTTGCCATTAGTAACAGGGTATTTGTTATGGCATGATTTCCTCTGTTGTTAGGCTGCAGAATGATTACAGTATTAGCGAGGTGCTTTCTTTATAAAGGGCCAGAGATATAACTTTCAATTTACTATCCATTAGTAAGGGACTTTGGAAATATGGATGAAGGCAACCTCTTACCTGCTGTTAGGTAGTGATTTTAATTTAGCCATCTTAGGCTAGTTTTTTTTTATTATTATTTTTTCCTTTCTTTCTTTCTTTTTTTTTTTTTTTTTTTTCCAAACAGGGCCAGGAAGCTTCAGCGTTTCACAGACATTTTGATGACAGATTTTTCTGCTTTGCTATTTTAGACCCCAAAGCTGTATCACCCATGTAACAAAGTACAATTTAAGACAGACAGGCACGCATCTGGGTTTCAAATCTCTGTGCTTGGCTAAACCATTGGAAGGCAGTGGCTCCACTCTCTGGGTCAGACAGACTGAACAGGTGAGCCAGGTTGGAATTTCGGAAGGAGACAAGAGATACATTTGCTGTGGAGGTGGAGACTGGGAGAGAATTCCCAAATGAGGGATTTCTGGGAATATACTAAGTGTGTTGGGTGAGGGAGATGGCAAGGGTTCCAACTTCCACATTCGCATCCACAGATGCAGCAGAACACCAGCTCCTGGCTTCTGGAGATGAGGTGATACTGGATAGGGTCAGGGTGTAAATGGGGCTGAGCAATTGCAGGGGAAGGGCAAGCTATGCCCCATTAAAAAGCATGCCACCTGACATCTCCACCACGTGGGAGGAGGACAGCTGTCTTTCCTTGTAGCCAGTGTTCAGGGGAAGGCCAAAGAGTTGGAACAACAGCCCTTGCCTTGAGACAGGGCAGCCTGAAGGAAAGGGTGGCACTGCCCAGCATCCCACCTGCCCACCGTAACAACATCCAGACACAGTGACCTCCAAACTGACTAAAGGCCCAGGTGCAGAACCAGGCAACCCTGGGCAGGACCCTTCTGCAAGGTGCTTGTCCCCATCCTTCCCGGCCAACCTACCTGAGGAGGACGGCGAGGAAGGATGTGGACTGTCCTCCTGGGCACTTCCGGTCTGGGAGAGGCCGCCTCCGACCCCACTCTCCTCAGTGACGTTGGAGGAGCCAGGTGTGGTGGAGCGGCTCACGGACTGGGACTCCTGGTCACTGCCTGAGCCACGCCGCTCGTCCAGACCCGCGTGTAGCCCGTCCTCGTCACCCTTGCGGTCCCGCTTGTGGACACGGGAATGCACGACCACCTGGTGGTAGGTGCGGAACACCCGGCCGCAGTCAGGGCACTCCGTGGGCTTTTCCTTCATGTTTCCGGGACCCTGCAGGTTATATTCAAGCGTCTGGTTCAGCCCATGTGACAAAAACTCCCGACTGCCTTCTAAAGGGTCGAGCTTATTTGGCAGGTCTCTCTGATTGCCCACTTTAGTGCTGTGAACCAAATCAGCAGGCATTTTCTGCTTAGAGCCATCTGCTCCCACTAACACGTACTCCCGCTTCTCCTTATCAAACATAACTCCAGCGTTTGCCAAAGTGTCTTCGTGGTTGCGCTGTAGCTGATGCTCTTTAGATAAGAAGCCATGTTCCATGGCCATGCCCCTGGCCATGAGCTGCCAAGCCTGGTAGCTGTTCACCGGGTCCATCTCTGCAGCTTTGGCAGCCGCCTGCAACCGCTCAATGCAGCTGGATTTGAGTGGTGGCACGAGGTTGAGGCATCCCAGGAGGGAGTGCTTGTCCCCCTCCGGGACACCATGGGCCATGCTGGAGATGGGTGACAGCAGCTTCCCTAGCACCTCCTTCTCCTTCATGGGCAGCTCCCCTTTGCCATAGAGCTGGCTGGGTTCGCTCAGGCTGGCTTTGTCTGGGGCCATGAAGCCACTCTGCAGACAGGAGAGGTACCGGGAGTACAGGTTGGCATGGGCCTCCTGGGACATGCTGCCCATGCTCACAGGCACCTCGGGCTCACTGGGGGACTTGTTTTTCACCGACAGCTTGTTGAGGTGGACCTTCATGTGGTTCTTGAGGAACCACGGCTCTTTGAAGCGCCGGCCACAGATCTGACAGCAGTGCTCGAAGGAGTCTTTGTGCTTCCGCATGTGGCCCTTGAGGAACCAAGCCTGGCTGAACACCTGGCCGCACACCTCGCAGCGGAACTCGTTGGCGGATTGCTCCCCGCCACCGTTGGGGCCCTGACCCTGAGCGGACTCGGCGGTAATGTGGGCCTTCTCCACGTGGCTGATCAGCTCCTCCTCCTGGGAGGCCGCGAAGTCGCACAGCGTGCACTTGTAGGGCTTGTGCAGGATGCGGATGTGACGGTCGAGTTCCTCCCGCTTCTTGAATTTGCCCTTGCAGAAGGTGCAGCGGAAGCCAGCCGCAGGGGCCACTGCGTCCTCCTGGACGCTGGTGGGCTTGGGTGAGGGTACGGGGTTGGCCACATCGGGCACGCTGTGGTTGGCAGGCAGGGCCAGGTTGCAGGCCGCCAGCGGGGTCTGCTGTGCGTGCTGCAGGGGCTTCAGGTCGGCCCGCGGCTGCAGCAGGCTGCTCTTCATCTGCTTGTCCCGCAAGATGGCCCTCTCCTCCAGCTCGTGCAGCAGGCGGTTCTCCTCGCGCACCCGCCCGCGCCCCTTCCCCAGGTTGCCCAGCTTGTGGGTCCGCAGGTGAATCTTGAGGTTCCCCTTCTGCGCCGCCCGGTGGTCGCAGTAGGGGCACTTGAAGGGCTTCTCTCCTGTGTGGGTGCGCATGTGCAGGGAGAGGATGCTGTTGAAACGGAAGCGTTTGCCACAGAGAGGGCATGGGTACTTCCGGTTTTTGCGGGCATCGTCCTCGATGTCGCTCATCTGGGACATGATGCCCAGGTTCTGCCCATTGAGGAACTGCTGCAGGTCCACCCGACCGTTGAGGCTGGTGTCAACATCGCGACCCAGCTGGTTGGCCAGAAGCGCCATCTGACTGCCCATGGGCTGGCCACTCATGGGCACATGTGACTTCTCATCTAGGGGTGCAGGGGTCTTCTCTTCGGGGTTGGGCCGCGGATGCAGCTCTGGGAAGGCATGGCTGAGCTGGGAGGTGATCTGGTGCAACTTCTGACTCATGGCATACTGGCCGTTGAGGACAGGGCCACTCAGGTGAGGCTCAGCTTCAGGTGCCGCCGAGGACACTCCAAGGCACAGACTCGCTTCTTCCATCCCTACAAATAAAGACAAAGATCAGATCCGTGCCAGAGACCATGGTGCACAGACTCACCGGCATCAGCTGGTGGCAAATTTGCATTTCATGCCTTACCTACACATAATAATGCTAAGGAATTATAGTCAAAAACAATAATAAAAAAATGAATTATTAAATGCCAATTATGCAATATGGCATTGCTCCTCCAATTTGTTTTGGCGATAGAACGTCTTCCTTGTATTTTCTATTTACAGACGGCAATTATTCATTCATGTTTAAATTATTAATGTTTTACCACTTTCAACACCTAATAACAAATCAAGGGGCTACGTGTTAAACTTTTCCTCCTTTTACCCCATGTAGCACCTGTACCTGTTGGTTCAGTTCAAAGTTTGCTTTTACAGCAGAAAGGCTTTCACTGTGAGACCAAACAGACTCACTATGAACTTTTGTTTCCATTCACTATATTCAATACGCTAACCAGTCTGAGATGAAAGAGATCGTTTTATGATTTGGCCAAAAAAAAAAAAAAAAACCCGAATGGCATGATATTTACTGGTACATAATAAAACAAGATAATGTTTTGGGAAAAAATAAAGTAAAGGACAGGCTTTAGAACAATAAAAGGGATTTTGCTTTAGTCAACAAAAAGTGCAGTAATATCTCATTAAGCTGATTAGTATGCTGCTTAGAAACAGTACTAGGTGCTGTAACACATGATTATAATCATAAAAATCCTTCAGTGTTTGCAAGGAAGCATTAACGAGGTATATTAAATTTTAAGGAGACTGCGAGTAGCGGCTTTGCAAACCTCAGAGATTAAGATTTAACCCTTATGTTACGAAACACTGTTATTTTGTCATTTGATAACTGTGTCCATCAAAAGAAGTATAAATTATCTCTTGGTAGAATCTTAGTAGATTGCTGAGACTGTTCAAATTTGGGTAGAGGTAAAGACTTACACTTTACAGTGGGTTCTCCCTGTCCTTCAACTGGCAAGATATCTGAGGCAGGACTTTGATTGGGCTTAAAGAGATCTTTTATAGAACTAGATAAAAACCAATTAAAATCCAGGGACGATGCCATAGGAAGTCTCAACCAAGTTTGAGTGTTTTTAATAACTTTCCCAATATACAGTAATGAGAACAAATTGTACCTGCACTATGTGTTTTGCAGAAAATTAGAACTCAAAACTGTTTGTTAAACACTAACACTCAAAGCTAGTCTGCATAATTGTCTTTAATAGACTGCTCTGCCCCTCTGCAGCCTGTGCAGAATGGCAAAAGCCAACCTGTTCCAGTGAGTCACAGAGAAGGGCCTCCCCTACCTCAGAGCATGTGGGGGAGCTCAAGATTGACAGTCAATAGGGTCCTTCTATTTGCAGATCCGACTCCACCTAAGGAGCCCAAATACATTTCCTGCCATAGAATGGTTTCTGCGCATCTCTCCTCTTTGTATCCCAATGTTTAGCTGTGTTGGCTATCCAGGTGGTCCAGGAGCTTTGTTTAACCCCAGCCAGAAATATGGGGCCAAGCAATTTCCCCAGGGGACCTGTGGGGACAGAGTTCAACTGTGGAGGAAGTACACTCAGCCCCAGTAGGGTCTGCTGCTTGCTGGGCCTCCTGCCAGACAGACTGTGCATGACACGAAGGGTCTCCAACAAGAGACTCAACTTCCTTGGCAAGGAGAGATGCTGAGACCATCTTGCAAGAGACAGGGGGGAAAAGACATGGCTTTTGAGTTCCACAAGGGAGAGGAATTACAACCATGGTGCAGGGTTAACTGAACCGGTATCTATGGACGATCAATGGAAAACTGCACATGTTCACATGCATAGAAGTGCACGTCACTTGAAATAAAATAATGGCTTCCAATTTGCCATCTTTCCTCTTTGTTTCTGGTGGCAGTCCACACTCAAATGAAAACAAACATTTTGAAGACTGGGCAGAAAGGAGTTAATTTTGCACAGAGATTCTTGTATTCCTTCAACAAGCTTGATGAATTATCCTCGATGGGTGCCAGTCCCTATCACTAAAGACACAGTGATGGACAACGACTGGCCCAGAACTCAGAGCACCCACTGTCCAGCAGGAAGGAGCAGGTCCAGAGTGTAGAAGTTGCTGAGGGCTCCCAGCAAGCACTAACAGCCTCCAGAGCCCTATCTGGAACCTTTTCTTCCCCTTCAAACTCCACACAGCCATGCTGCCTCTTCTGAGCACATGGTAGATCATGATCCTGGAGCCACATAAGTATGCTCAGAACTCCACCCACAAGCTCTGTGGAAATTTGGACAGTCCAAAGCCAACATGGCTGGCCCAAGGCTGCCCAGTTGGCCAGCTCAAAAGACAGGAATCCAAGAATCCAGGCTCTTTTCGGGTTGCCGCTTATGACCTGATGTGAATTTAGCTGAGAGAGGAGGCTAAAGGTGTAACATAGCAAGACTGCAAATCAGGTTGATGAGAGGCATCAAGTTGAAGGCTAGGCCCCGCCCCACTGCCATCATGCAGTGCAAGTAATAGCTCAGCTTGTCAACTAACAAACTTGAGAGTTTTCAAGTTCAACTAATGAACATGGGAGTTTTGAGTACAGAATTCTTTATTCTGTTCAAAAATAAACATTTTTGGTTTTGGGGGTTTTTTCCCCCTAAGCACCAACACTTTTTAAACCCCTTTGAACAACTGGTCTTCAGATGTCATTGCCGATGCTTCAATGGAGGGGGAAAAGAATGTACTAGAATGCACTTCCCAGCTCTTTACAGAGTTGGCTTTTTTCATGATATAGGTCTGAGCTTACACATCCTCTTCTTGCAAAGGTCCTTTGCAGCCACCTTGTAGGAGGTCCGCATCCCCAGCCCCTCTCTATCCTGACAACTTTCTTCATAGCACTCACCACTAGTGTGATGTCCCCTTTGAGGACATGCTTCTTTTCCATGAGGGCAGAGGTCGTGTCTGCTTGGCCAACGATGAAGCCTTGGGGCCTAGAACAGAACTGGCTCATCTTAGCTTTCAATATTTCCTGATTGAATGGATGAATGACTGAACAGATCCTATAAGCACAGCCCATAAAAGATGTCAAGCCCCAAAGGAAACTTGTTCTCACCTCAATCTCATGTGATTCAACATGAGCATTTTCATAAGAAGGTCTACAATCAGATTTATCAGAGCTGAGAGGGTCTCTACTACCATTCAGAAGCCAAAGGTCCAGAAATCAACAAAGAAAAGCCACATCCACCACCATTTCTCTCACTATAGGTAACCAGGTTGATCATCCCAGGCTTCAGCCACGTCTGATGGCTCTACTGCTAGACACTAGGAGAATATTACCCATTCAGAACTTAACAGACCACCATGGAGCCCATGAGAGACCCCAGCGTTTCAGAGGAGCCAGCCAGCTCCCCAGGATTATGGCCCCAGGCCCTCAGATGAGCCTGGGAGATGCTGAGCAGTGAGCCCCCCTGTGCCACGGGTCATTATATGGTCTGCTCAGAATCTTCTGAGCTTCCATGAGCAGGTGCAGCCGAGGACGTGGTGATGAGCCCAACATAACCAACGCCTGCTGTTTGACTCAGAGCAAGAAAGGGAAGCGTGAGTTCTTGGAAAGAGTGTGGGGTAATTGGTGTGCTGTCCCTGGGCCAAAGCAGCCGAGGCAGGATGAGCTGGCCCCAGGCCCGGCCCGGGACTCATAAAACCTGGGTCGGCCCCAATTTCTCCACACTTCGCCCGTCCAGAATTTATTTACTCCTTACCTCCGCCATTCAGTTAATATTTGCCAGGGACCTTTATGTGCCTGGCCTCAAGAGCCTGTGGGCCATGCTGGGGAAGCAATGAAAGGTCCTTGCCAGGTTGAATCCAAAGTTAGAGAAAGGACAAACCTTTGCAGCTATGTGTACAAGGGTGTGTGTGTGTGTGTGTGTGTGTGTGTGTGTGTGGTGTGTGGTGTGTGCACCCACACACAAGTGTGCATATTAAGTGTGACCATGTTAAGAAAAGGGCATAGATTCCTCAACTGGTGGCACTCCAGTAACTTAGACAAATGCATACTTTGAGAAACTCAGGGTTCATTTATCCTACCATTAAAGGATCAGATCCAACTGTTGCCGTAGGAGTACGGGGGCTTGGAGGAGGTGGGGCTGCCCACAGGGGCGCCACTAGTTCTGATGGAAGGTGTTATTACTCCTTTTCCCAGCCCTCTGGGGACAAGCACATGGAGAATGCCTTTCTTTGGAGACCAAACTGCTCCCTCACTGAATGTGTATCCATGTCCCTGGAGGGACCTCCACACACACACACACACACACACACACACACACACACACTGTTCCCCAGGCATGTCTTGAAGAGCAGGGCAGACTCACATATCCACACACAGCGCTGTGCCCCAATGGCCATGTTCCCAGGGAGCTCAGCCCATCCTTCACTCAGCAACACTGCCTCTGGACTCAGCACCAACCACCCTGGAGCTGGGGTACCCACATTGAGCAGTCTGGGGCCAGCAGAGGGCAGGCCATGATCCTGGCCCTATGGCAAAGAATAAGGCCCAACCCTCTGAGTAACCTGTAAATACCGCACCTAGGTAGGAAAACCTTTAACACAAATAAAAGGAAGTAAACAAACTATGAAACAATGAGAACCACCGGCCCCTGGCCTTCAACTCCTGGCCCCAGCCCTAAGCTTATAAGGAAGAGGATCAATAAACCCTGGTTGACTGGCAGAAGGAACCAATGAATACATAATTTACCTAACTCTGGAAAGGCAGCCAAATGACCTCACTGGGGCGAGGCAGTTCAAGGTCACTGTAAACACAGAAATATCACAACATTCCTCCCCTGTCCTGACCTATCCTGACCCAGTCCTGACCTATCCTAGCAAGGTCATGGCAGGGTGCTTCTCGCGCTCAACCCCATGATCAATATTGATGAAGAATCAGACTTGTAGGTGAGTCTCGCCAACTTGGTACCCCTTACCCCGTGAGGTATAGAAATGCCCGGCTCTGCCTCTAAATACAGGTCAGGGTCCAGGG